TCTCTTCCCCAGGCCTCCCGCGCTCGTGACCCACTCTTCCCGCCCCCCTCCTCCCGCCTCCTCCTACCTGCTGCCCTGCCTTCTACCTCGCGGCCCTGCCTGGGGGCTCGTTGGGAGGCTGCGGCCTGCGAACGTGTCGCCACGTTCGAGGGCTCCTGGGGGGTCCAGCGGAGCGACGCCTTACGCAGACCGAAACTAGACCTCGCCATCCCTAGAGGGCTGCGGACTGAAACGGTTGCCACTTTCGAGGGTTGCTGGGGGGTCCAGCGGAGTGATTCCATACGCAGATTTGCTTTCGACCTCGCCATGCCCGGGGGGCTGCGAACTGTGCAACGGATGCCACTTTCGAGGGCTGCTAGGGGGTCCAGCGGAGTGACGCTTTGGGTAGATTCAGATTAGACCTCGCCATCTTTGGGCGGCCGCGAACTGCGAAACTGCCGATGTTTTGGAGGGCTGCTGGGGGGTCGAGTGGAGTGACGCCTCGCGCAGACCTAGACTAGACCTCGCCATCTCCGCGGGGCTGCGAACTGCGAAACTATCGCCTTTTTCGAGGGCTGCTCAGGTTCAAGCGGCCTAGATTCGACCTCGCTGCGAACTGCGAATCCGTCGCCACTTTTGAGGGTTGCTGGGGGTCCCTCGGCTTACGCAGACCTAGAGTAGACCTCGCCATCTCTGAAGGGTTGCGAACTGCGAAACGGTCGCCACTTTCGAGGGTTGCTGTTGGGGGGTCCAGCAGAGTGACGCCTTAAGTAGATTCAGATTAGACCTCGCCATGCCTGGGGGGCTGCGAACTGCGAAACGGTCGCCACGCTCAATGGCTGCTCAGCGGATTGACGCCTTACGCAAACCTAGATTAGACCTCGCCATCCCTGGGCGGCTGCGGACTGCGAATCTGTGATATCGGAGATATCCCTGGGGAGCTGGGACTAGATCGGGGATGTGCGGAACAGCATTTTAGTTGCATAGGATCGTGAGGGTTGAAGTCTTTAGAAGGCGATGGTAACAGCAGCCAGTATGCACTGCATCGTAGTTTTCCCCAGCCCTCCTGTTTTGGGTCTCATAGAGCGCTGTGGTATCCACTCCTTCTTCTTCTCCCTCCTCCTCCTCCTCCTGCCTCGTCCCTCCGGCGCTGCTCCGTGGGTGGCTGCGAACTGCGCAACTGTTGCCACTTTCGGGGGTTCCTGAAAAGTCGAGCGTAGTAGGGGAGTACACGCACCCAGCCGATACCTCGCAACTCCCTGAGGGGCTCCTGGGGGCACGGCGGAGTACACCGCACTCACATCTATACACCTGGGTGGTTGTATGTGCGGCCGTTTTTGCGCTGTCATGTGCGCGCATGTGCGCGGCATGTGCCAGTCATGTGCCAGGCCTGTGCGGCCCTTCTTGGATGGACTTCCTACTGTGCACGTCGTGCCCGGGCATCTGCGGGGGCATGTGCGTTGTGTTTTGATGTATCCATCATACGCGCATGCACGCACAGTCCGACGCACATGCGCGCACATGCCTGCACATGCGGGAGGTGTTCGAGAATCGCAGATCTGTCATCGGCACATGCACGCACATGCCTGTGCAACCTCTCTTCGGGAGGCCGCGCGGGCCCGCACATGCACGCACATGCGGTGAAGCGCGCGGGCGCACATGCGTGCACATCCCAATGCACATGCACGCTCATGCCCTAGGAGCTGTCTGGGACCCCTGTGCCTCCAATGCCTCCTGGCCTTCGCAGAGCTGGGGCGTGCCAGGGCTTCCTGAAAGAGTTTGTTGTGCGTTTAGACTCGCCCGCTGCTGGCGGGGGCGGTTCTTCGCCCGGTTCGTGAGCTGGCGGTGGCGTGCCCTCCTAGTAAAACACTCTCCCGCGCGCCTTCTCAGCTCGGCCGGAGAAGCAGGGGCGGGGGGGGAGGTGGAGGGGGGGGGGGAAGGAGGGGGGGCGGAGGAGGCGGACGCCCCCGGCTCGGCCGGCCCGCCCGCCTGTTCGGCTCGGCCAGAGGAGAAGGAGGAGGAGGAGGAGGAGGAGGAGGAGGAGGAGGAGGAGGAGGAGGAGGAGGAGGAGGAGGAGGAGGAGGTGAGAGTTGCGAGGATGTCTCAGGCGAAAGTGGCTTGACGGCCCGAGCTCAGGGAATCTCGGAATCGCTGGCCTGGCTCGGCCACTGGCGAGCTCGGCCTGTGCGAATACTGTGCGTACCTGTGCGGGGCATGTGCGGGACGTGCAAGAATGCCGGGGCCGGCGTTCGTCTCCGGGCGCCGGCGCGTTCGCGTCCGGCCGGTTCCGCGTGAGACGTCGTCGGCAATCTGGAGGCCGACGTGCTTTGACATGAGGTGATTTGGCCACCTTCGCCTGAGACATCCTCGCAACTCTGGTCTCGGAGATGCCCTGCCCCATGGTGGCCCGGCCACTTTCGCTTGAGACATCCTCGGAGATTCTGGGTTTCGCTGAGACGCCCTGAGCTGAGGTGGTTAGACCACTTTCGCTTGACGCTTGAGACATCCTCGCAACTCTGACCTCAGAGATCTCCTGCCCCATGCTGGTCAGGCCACTGTCGCCTGAGACATCCTCGCAAGTCTCGATTCCGATATGCCCCGAGCTGAGGTGGTCAGCCACTGTCGCCTGAGACATCCTCGCAACCCTGATCTCAATGATGCCCTGCTCGATAGTGTCTCGGCGCCTTTCGCCTGAGACATCCTCGGAACTCTGGGTTCTGAGACGCCCTGAGCTGAGGTGGTTAGACCACTTTCGCTTTAGACATCCTCGCCCGAGATGCCCTGAGTTGAGGTGTTCAGGCCACTTTCGCCTGAGACATCCTCGCAACTCTGACCTCAATGATGCCCTGCTCCATAGTGTCTTGGCCTTTCCTGCCTGAGACATCCTCGCAACTCTGGGTTCCGAGACGCCCTGGGCTGAGGTGGTCAGACCACTCTCGCCAGAGACATCCTCGCAACTCTGACCTCAGAGATCTCTTGCCCCATGGTGGTCAGGCCACTTTCGCCTGAGACATCCTCACAACTCAGACCTCGGAGGTGTCCTGCCCCATGGTCGTCTGGTCACCTTGACCAGCGACATCCTCGCCACTCTGGTTTCCAAGATGCCCTGCCCCATGGTGGTCCGGCCACGCTTGCCTGAGACATCCTCGCAACTCTGGGTTGCGAAATGCCCCGAGCTCAGGTGGTCAGGCCACTATCGCCTGCGACATCTCTGCGGCATGTGCGGGCATGTGCGTCTATGCTTTCAGAGTTTTGCTTGACCGTGCATTAGACTGTGCGTCGGACGGTGTGGCATGTGCGCGCATGTGCGGCAATGCTGTTGAGGCTTTTGTATATTTGCATGGGCATGTGCATGCGACTGTGCGGCATGTGCCTGCATGTGCGGCCCCTTCCGGACCACAAGTTCAAAGTGAGCACTATAGAAGTGAGCGCTATAGAAGTGAGTCCGGTGTAGGGGAGTATGCGCACCCAGCCAGGACCTCGCAGCTCTCCTTGGAGGACTGCGAACGTGAAACCGTCGCCCTTGTCGTTGGCTCCTGGGATGCACGGCGGAGTAAGGGAGTACGCGCACCCAGCCGGGACCTCGCAACTCCCTGGGGGGCTGCGAATTGCGCAACCGTCGCCATTTTTCGTGAAGCTCGGCGGAGTAGGGGAGTACGCGCACCCAGCCGTGATCGGGGCTAAATTCTTGGGGCTTACAGCTTCGGGCTTTGGGGTTAAGCCTTAGAGCTTGGGGCTTAGGGTTTAGTGCTTAAAGCCTGGGCTTAGACGGACCGGGGAAGGGGGAGCGGGAGGGGGGGGTCCCGGACCCTTTCCCCTTTTTGGGGCATCCAGCGGTGCGAGTTCTGAGAATCAATTATGGCACAACCTGAAAAATTGGGATTGGAACGCGTTGACAACTCGCACACAGAAGGCGTTCGCGAGCGGGGCGAACAGTAGTTACGCGTGCCGCGCGGGGGCGGGAGCGGCGAAACTTCTGACAGGCGCAGCGAAGACGAAGCAAGCGCCGCGCTGACGCAGCATTGCCATTTTCAGCACCAAACTTCACGGCGCTCTTGGGCGAGGTCGGCACTTCGCCCACCCTCGCGCGGCCTCGCTGCCGCTGCCGCCTGCACTCGGTTCGGCGAACGAGCCATGCGCCGCGCCCGCGCGCGACACCATTTCCGAGCGAAATGCGCACGGACCGTGGGCGAGGGCGACGAGTCGCCCTGTTCGCGCGATGCCCCCAACAAAACTGGCGAGCGATAATGATGCGCTGCGTCGAGGCGGGAGCGCCACGTGCATGCGAAGTCTGAGCGGCGTCGAGGCTCGTGCGTCGACGAAGTTGCGTGCAGCGAATGTGCGCCACGCCCGCGCGGGAGCTCAGTTCTCTAGAAGAATGAGCGCGGCGCCGAGGCGAGAGCGACATTATGGCCTTTCGCGCAGGATATGCGCCCCGTCCCATTCTTGCCACGCATTTTGCAACACGGACGACGTACTCTCCATGTCGAGATGAAAATCGACAATTGCGTAGTGTGTTTTGGATGGGGAGTCTTGCAGACGGCCTCTGCCGGCCGGCTGTCGTGGAGAGTAGGCGTATACACTCAGAAGGAAGAAGGATGGAATCTATCAGGGTCGAGTTGAGTAGAGTAAATCAGAGTATGTTAGGGTAGGATGGGGTAGGGTAGGGTAGCGTAGGGTAGTGTAACACAGAATAGGGCGGAGTAGATCAGAGTAGAGTAGAGTAGGGTAGACGGCAGAGCGGAGGAGAGCAGACTAGATTAGAGTAGAGTGGCGTGGAGTCCACCCCAATCCCGGCCAGACTACTCCAGTCCAGGCTATGCATTCCTCTCCAGTCCACTTCATTTCAGTCTTCTGATTGTTTTGGAGTCTGCGCTGACTGACACGTTCCTCCCAGCTTCTCTTTCTCCTCGTCACTCCGTGCCTCTCTCCGTTTATTTCCTTGTTTCTCTCTCGCACGTCGCCACGGCGGTACCAGCAGGCTCCGCCTGGATGTTGCGGATGACTTACGAGGGCCGCAAGATGTCGCGTTTCAATTCTGACAAGGCCCGTCCTACAGAAGGACGAGGAGGAGGAGGAGGAGGAGAGGAAGACGAGGAGGAGAGGAGGAGAGGGAGGGAGAGGAGGAGGAGGAGGAGGAGGAGGAGAAGGAGGACGAGGCGGATATACAGTGCGATCTAGTGATTAGAGTCCGTGCAACGCAAGAGTGCGAAGCAAAACGAGGAGAAGGATAAGTTCGAGGAGGAGGAGGAGGAGGAGGCGTTGGCTGTAGCAGCATGAGCAGGAGCAGTAGGAGAAGTAGGAGGAACAACTGGAGGAGGAGGGAAGGGAGGGGAGGGAAGAGGGACGAGGCATTCTGAGATTTTGTCCCGGGCGATGGTGATGGGAATCTTCGGGCGGAGCCGCTTGATTCGCCAGATTCGTCAGAAACTGTCTAGGAAGCGCCGTTGTTGGCCTCATTTTTCGTGGGGGTCAGAATGATGTGAATTCTACAGAAACTCCTTCGAATGAGGAAGAGTGAGGAGAAGAACAGGATGATGAGGAGGAGGGCGAGGAGAAATGAGACGACTGGGACTACAAGATGAAGCGTAGGCACATAAGAAGCATAAGGCAACTGTTTCAGTTTGACTCAAACCTACGCGCGCGAAGCGCGCGCGTGGTTCTAGTGTATATATATATGTGTGTATATGTGTATATATATATATGTATTGTTAGATCTATATATATATATGTATATATATATATATAGATTCCAATAAGTTGTAGCATAAGCGGGGGCACACCCCAAATGCGCCGAGTGTCCTGGGCTTTCAGAGGCTCGAACATGTGAGGACGCCGCCGCCGCCGAGGAGGATCGGGGAAGAAACAATAATACGAGCATGAACTCTCGGAGGTCCGCGTGGATTTCTCGGATCGGCGCTGGATCCCCTCCCTTGCGCGCGGATCGCGCCAGGGGCGGCGCCTGAGGTGTTCTTAGGGGGCCCCATCGCCGATCCGAGAAATCTGCGAGGGCCTCCGAAAGTTGATGTTTATGTCAGTGTTTGGTCACCTAGAGGAGGGCCTGGCGTGAGGCCCCCCGATCCTCGATCCTTGGTCGTCGTTCCTCCGCCACCGAACCAGCGCCGCCGTCGAGGAGAGCGCCGGGGCGACGACGACGACGACGACGACGACGACGACGACGACGACGACGACGACGATGAGCCTGCACGGGCCGCCCTTGCGCGCGCTCGCGCCAGGGCACAGCGCCCTCGCGGCAGCCTCTGGGGCGCCTCGAATCGCGCCGCGAGGAGGCCCGGCGGGCTCGCCCGCGCCAGGGCGCTTGCCGCGCGCAGGTGGTTTCGGTGAGCCCGGCCGCGCTCCAGGGCTTCGAGGCGGCGCGCGCCGCCGCGCCAACTGCTGCGCCTCTCCGCAGGTCGCTGCGGGCCGCCGCCGCCGCCGCGGGTCGTCGTCGTCATCGTCGTCGTCGTCGTCGGCGCCGCGGGTCGTCGTCGTCGGTCGGTGCCCGACAGCGGCGTCTCCTCGGGAGAGGAGATCGGCTGCGCGTAAGAGTGACCTTTGGCTGGAGTGGCCTTCGGCGGGGGCTCACAGGGGCCCCCCCAAGCACAGGCCTGCGCGCTTGGATTTGCCCCCTGCAGGGCCTCCCAGAGCCGCGCACCCCAAGGTTATTCACGTAAGTGGCTTACGCCATTCCGCCTACCCCCACAAGGAGTAAGTGTTTGAGACGATCGCGGAAGGTATATCTTGGGTCAGGAGCCTCCTGGATGAATCAGGTTTTTTGGGATGCCTCTCTGGGGCCTCTTGGAGTATCCTGGGGGCATGTGGGAGGATTTTGGGGGCCTCGTGGGGGCCCCTGGGGGGCTTCTTGGGGGCGTCTTGGAGGCTTCTTGGGGTCTCTTGGAGGGCCCTCCGGGGGCTTCGGGAGGGCTCGAGTGACCATCTCGGTGGGAAAGACTGGATATTCCCGCACTTGTACTTTCTTGGAGCCCTTTGGGGGCTCTCCAGGGGCTGTCTTGGGCCGTCTTAGGGAGCCCCTGGGCTGTCTTTGGGCCCTATTGGACCGTCTTGGGGCCTTTTTGTAGGCATCATGGGCCGTCTTGTGACGATCTTGGGGGCCACTTGGGCCGTCGTGTTCGCTTGCAAAGCGTCAGATGCGAATATGCTGAAAATGCAAGTTTTTCCCAGGGGATGGCCTGATTTTGGCCTCTTGGGGCCCTTTCGGCGATCCTCTGGAGGCGCATTTGGGCTGTCTTGGGGGCCTCGTGGGCCATGTTGAAGTCATCTCGGATCATCGTGGAGCTCCCTTGGACCGTCATGACGCTCTCTTCGTCTTGGCGCTCTGTCTGGGCCCCGTTGGGCTGTCTTGGGGCTTTCTGAGGGCTCCGGAGGCCCTGGGGTTGCGTTGACGAGCTCGCCCCCCCCCTCCCTCCTCCCCCTTCCCTCCTCCCCCTCCCTGCTCCCCTCTACCTCTCCCCCTCCCCTCTATCTACAATTACTCAATATGAATATACTCTCCCTCTTCCCCTGATGGCGTCCGGGTGATGGCCGCGCACCCTCCGCGTATTGTTTTTTAACACACAGGATGCCCGGGAAATCCCGGGAAACGACTCTCGCTGAGGCGCCGGCGTCATTTTTTCTCAAAATGCTGCTCTCGCGCCGGCGCCATTTTTTCCCAAAATGCTGCTCTCGTTGAGGCGCCGGCCTCATTTCTGCTCCCGAATCCTTCCCCTGATGGCGTCCGGGTGATGGCCGCGCACCCTCCGCGTATTGTTTTTTTACACAGGATGCCCGGGAAATCCCGGGAAACGACTCTCGCTGAGGCGCCGGCGTCATTTTTTCCCAAAATGCTGCTCTCGTTGAGGCGCCGGCCTCATTTCTGCTCCCGAATCGTTCCGAATCGTGCTCCCGCTGCAGCGTGGGCCTCATTTTCGGATCGGTGTTTGGCCTCCGTCGTTCAGGATGGCGTTCTCGCCCCAGCGCGGGCCTTTTTCTCGCGCGCCCATCCGCCCGCCACCACCGCGCCGCACCGCCACCACCACCACCACCACCACCACCACCACCACCACCACCACCACCACCACCACCACCACCACCACCAGCACCAGCACCAGTACCAACACCACCACCACCAGCACCACCACCACCACCACCAGCACCACACCACCACCATCACCACCACCACCACCACCACCACCACCACCACCACCACCACCACCACCACCACCACCACCACCACCACGACAACCACGCACACACGCACGCACGCACGCACGTGCACCACCACCCACTACGCACGCGCGCGCGGAGCCACAGGTCCGCTACGACACGCGTCCGCGGATAGAGAAAATCAGCGCCATGGTAAGGGATGGGAGGGAGGGGTAGGACGTCAGATATGACGCGAGCGCACCTAGCTTGCCCCCCCCCCTCGCTCTCCCCCCCCTCCACAATTACACCTCAAGCGCATTTGGGTCGAGCTGCTTTCAGGCACTCGACCATATTTCCCTGGGCTGTACTTTGTGTTCGCTTGAGGGCCGATATTATTCGGCCAACGCAGGGGCCCGTTCCTACTTCATGGTTTCCCCTCCCTCCGCGCTGCGCAATAGCAGCAGTTCGAAGCTATGGATCTGCAGCTCCTGCGGGTGCCGTCGCAACAAGGCCACGTGGTATTGGTGCAAACATTGCCGTGCCAAGCGGCCCGCGGAGAGTCCAGCACCGTCTCAGACCCCCGCATCCTCGTGGGGAGGGTGGAACCGTAACTGGACGTGGTACGACACGGACTACACGAACGACGTTTTCGCTGGCGACGGTCATGCTGGTGCTGACGCTGCTTGGCCTGCTCTCCCCCGTCTCCCTGGGCTTCAGTTCATGAGGCCGAAGGGTGCGATCTCCGCTCCGCCAAGCATCTCAGCCGACGCGCCGCTGGAGGATCTGCATTCGGCCGTCCAGTTGTTCGACAAGCTGGGTGACGTCGGCTCTTCCCCGGCGTAAAAAAAATCCTCGCTTCCCGCCAGGCCTCGGCCCCAGCGGCCCCGCCCTTGCAGCGCCAGATCAACGACGCTTTCCAGCAGGTTCGCGGGCTTGAGAGCAAGTTGGAGAAGGCAGCGTTCGGCTACAATCGGCTGGAGCAACAGCTTTCTCAGCAGCGTGTGTGGGTCGCTACGCCGCCGAGGCAGAGCACGCCCAGCTCGCGCGCGACCTCCGCCAGAGGGTTGCGCCGCCCTGCGCAGCGGCCGCCGAGCAGGCGACTGCGCCGCCATTTCCTTGGGGTCGCCCGGCAAGTTCGACAGTGAGGAGTACGATTTGTCGTCCGAGGCGTAGGAGGAGGCCGACAGGCGCCTGCTGCAGCTCCAGACCGAGCTCAAGGCCGCAGCGCAGTCCTCGTTCGGTGAATCTGCTGCCAAGGCTCGCCATGCTCGCGAAGATCACGCTCCATTCCTTTTCCGGCTCATCAAGATGCGGCGCGCAGGCGCAGGTGTCGACGGTGCTGCAGCTGCTGCCCCAGCGGCGGCCCAAGCTGCTACGCCCCCTGCTGCGCCCCCCACCAGTGGGCCAGAGGCTGGTGGCGCCCCGCCCGCTGCTGCGCCGACAGATGCGTCCGCGTCCTCGAAGTCAGCGGCCCCGTCTTCGGCGTCGGCAGCTGCATTTACTGAGGCCGAGGCCCGTGCGGCCGAGGCCAAGCTCCGTGCAGATGCCGCTAGGATTTCAACGTCTCCCAATCCTGCCCCCCCCGCTGGCGCCAAGCCTGTCGCTGGCGCTTGGCGTGGGGTGCTCATTTGATGGCAGTGGCCCATGGGCTTCGCTCTCCTGTGGGGTCATTCAGTTTTGGCTGCGATTTCTCTGGATCAAGGCTTGGGCATCATGCGTCATTAGGGCCCCTTCTGGAGCCTCCCCAGATGCCCGTCTTCTTACCTCCTTCGGCCCTTCCCCTCGTGCTCTCCGGACGGGCCCAGGGACAATTTAGCGCTTGCCGTCGAAGCGGCCAACGTCTCAGGGTGGGGCTTTGGGAAGAAGTCGTTATTGGACACTGTTGCTCATGTAGGTTTGATGCAAGAGCATCACTTAGTTCCCTCCGATCGCATCAACGAGGCCAGCCAATGGTCCATGCGCAGAGGGCGGCGGCCCCTCTGGGGCCCAGCGCCCCCTGGGGGAGGGCAGGGGTCTCACGGTGGAGAGGCGATCTTCGCGGGAACTTTCCTGGGTCTCCGGGGGAATATGGGCGTTCACTATCGCGAACTGAATCGGCTTAGTTCAGGTATAGTCTGCATCCCTGGCGACATCGATTTGTGCCTAGCATCGATTTACCTCTGTGACGGCCCGGGCATGTCTGAGTCGAATATTAAGTTGCATGCGGATGCTGGCGCTGCAGTTGGCCCCGCCCCCCTTCCGCGCGCGCCGCCGTCCGCGCTCCGCGGCTTCTCTAAAGAACTCAGCGCGCGTCTTCTCTTTCCCGATTGCGATGGCGCGTGTCGGACCGCTGGCGGATTATAGATGGGTGACTTTTTTTCACCTGCAGCCGCGGCCTCAGCAGCGCCGCGCAGGCGGTCTCTTGAGAGGGCGATCTGCGCGGTGCCGAGATCGCCCCGCATTGGCCGATCAGGCTCACCCTCTGGCTTCAAATCGGGAACCTTAGAGTCGTGACTTTGGCTGGGCCCCCCGAGATCCCCGCGGGTCGGATGACGGGGCCTACTGGCCCGCCCCCTCGTATGATAAGGTTCGGGGCTCGCTTGGTCGAGCCTTAGATGCTGCCCTTACTGGGGGTGGGGTGTCCACCCAATCTCCCCCCCCCCTTCGTCTTGCCCCCTCTGGGCTGCGGAAGCTGAGCGGGGGGTCGAGGAAGCGGCGGGAGTTGGCCTTCCCGTTCGCGGTGCTCGGTCCGAACCCCACCGCGTGGTCTGGCAATCGGTCTACGCTCGGGATGTTCAGGGCCCCGCGGTCGCCAGGTGGCTTTGGAAGACTGCGTTGGCGCTTCAAGCTGTTATCCAGCACCCATCTCGCCATGGCCTGCAGCGAGCTATCTCGACTGGTTTGGCCGGCCCAACCGCCGCCCTGCGTCGTCGGACTCCTCGGCACCATCTGTTCGATTCGGCTCTGAAGCTGGCTCTCGACGCGCCCCGCGTTCAGGGCGCGCTCAGCCTTGGGCCCGGGGCTGCGGATCTCCACTCTTTGGTCCAGCATGCGCTCAATGAGAGCCCTAGACTTGCACGAGCTGGCGCCTCGGCCTCCTGGCGGGCCTGGATTTTGAAGGGTTTTGACCAGGGTGCCAGGAACGCCCGCAAGTATACTGAACCTCCCGTTGCTTAGCAGACCCGCGCAGTTCTCGCCGGCGATGGACGGCTTGCCAGCGACCCTCAAAGCGCATTGGGCCACGAGGCCC